ACAAAAGTAGGAAAGCTACGATTACAAGGCTTTTGATGCTGAGTGTGTGTTGTCTGCCTTTTATCCAGGGATTTTCCTGTGGTTTGAAATCTCCTGTGATCTTGTGGATTTCATGAGTCGAGGCAACTAACCACTCTTACTAGATTGTATCATGTGATCTCAACAAGAACAAATCAAGTTGTTGAATTTCATACAGATCCCACATGATTTAATTACGTTCACCATAGAAACAGGAAATTATTTTGTTCAAATTACAAGTTTGACTTTTGTAAATGTAACAACCAATTTCCTTTTTTTGGGGGTGTGGACAACATGACTATAATAATGTGTAACCTATTCGAACCCGGGTAGCAAAGGCGTGAAGCAAAGATGGGAACTGTATAAAAAAAGAAGTTCACCTCTTTTCTCAAACATATTCTGCTCCACAGCATGTTAGGTTACAGCATACGACACAATTTCAATTTAGCCTAGTAACAAGTGACCATCTTTTGTAACACAGAAAACTCAGGGTCAACCTAGAAGTTACTTGGTTTACTTTGGTTTAGGGCTCATTAGTTTCACCTGTTTGTTTCCACCTGCATCTTCTCATATGTATTTTTTTTGTATATACTTTATATATATAATCATGTCTGTTTTGTTTATTTGCATTGGCTAATAAAAGCACATATTTGACTTTACCTTTCTCTGCCTCGTGTTCTTTATTTAAATATTTTGTTTGTTTTCTGTTATTTGAACATCTTTAGGTTTTGGTATAATAGTCAGAAACTGAAGCCTTTAAAATTGACTCTGCAGGAAAATGAGTCAAACAGAATAGAAGAATAGGCTCACTCACTGATAATGAAATTCTTATTTTAACGACTTAACGAGCCCATATTTAAACTCTACAATTTAAAAATGAACATCCTCTGAAATGGGCTGTACCGTAAGCAGGAAGGACTATTCCTTAAAGTAATTACTTTGTTCTGTCAACAGTTTAAGAGCTGATTGAACAATTGCATTTCGTCTGTATCGACAGTAGTCTTCACATTCAGAGAAAATAAATCAAACAGGAATTAAACAGGGAGATGAAGACAGAGATCAATGGCCTGGAACATCTTTGATACTTATTGGGAAAAAAAATGCTGCTCTCTCTAAATCAACTCCTCCAGGCTAATAAGAAGAGCTGGTCCCTGATAAAGATTTGTTAGCAAACTGAAAGAGACGTCCCGGCCAACACACACATACGCGAGCAGACGTACACACACGAGCAGTGTCAGTTTTGCCTGTGACATTTCAGATCGGAAAAATTAAACCTTTTTACATGTAATACGGACACAAATGCTGACTGCAGAGCCAAAACTGACTGTTCTTCACCACGTGGAAAAACTTCACCCGTAGAGCAGTTGAGGCTTTGAAAAAATATTTATAAAGCAATATGAGTATGATGTTTTAATACAGCACTTTAATACATTATAAAAACAAAAGCCCGGCCATTATTTGGCCATCTGACAATTTCTAAATCTTCTTTTCTCATCACTTTAGAAACACTGATCAGGGTGGGAGGTGGTCATATCTTCTGTTTGAAGAAGGGCAGTCAATTAGAATCAAGCTGTGGTCTTAAAGGGGGAGGAGCTTGTTTCACACAGAGGTTGAACTGAGGGGCTTCAACAAGGACAATAAACCATGCAAAGCTACTCTAGCAGAATTTGAGTATAAAAATATGAAGCTGAAAATCAGTTGTCACTTTTATTTTGCTAATGCGCTGAAAAATAAAAGATTGATTTTTGCAAACAAACGCGTGCTTTCTATTTGAAGAAAATCTAGCAAAGTAGAACGTGTATAATTGGCGCAGTCCTATAAATACCACGGTAACATCATATGGTGGTAACACAAAAACAGACATGAGCATCAGATGCCAACATCTCTTCCTCCTACACTTCATCAAGAAGCTAGAAAATACATATAGAGTTACTAGAAGCTGCTGCTCCAACACCCCATAACACAGACGCACTGCAAGAAGACACCTGCTGACGCACACGTGCACACACACACACACACCCTCCCTCTCCTCTTTCTTTTGCTGGCCGAGCTTTAGGCCAACGCCCAGGCTAGCTGATGCTCTGCTGCAGCCACCAGGCATCATTAAATCTGTTTACAGAGACTTTAAGTTGTTTTAATGCAATAAAAAATATAATAACAGAGTTTATTCATTATCATTTAGGCTGACTTAATGTCGTAGTAGTGGTAGACTATTTTCTCATCAGATGCTGACCTCAGTTCCAAGTTTAGTGTATAGTAACATGTGTCCATTTCAGCCAACTCTTTCTTTTTCTATTCCTGCTCCTTACTTTGGTTCACTGTTATAGACGCAGAGTAAGTAGGATTTATTTCTGCTGCTCA